GTCGACCTTGGAGTGGTCCTATACGCCCAGAGCACAGATGTCAGCTCGTCGACCCATGCTCCTGAAGCTTTTTCCAGCCTTGTTTTAAGTCCGTTTAGGATGATCCTGTTGGTCACCTCTACCTGTCCGTTGGCTTGTGGATGTGCGACAGAAGCGAAGTGCTGCTCGATACCCATTTCCTCGCACCACGCTCTTATCCGCTTACCATTGAATTGCGTTCCATTATCAGATATCAGGATTTTAGGGACTCCAAACCGGCAGCAAATGTTATTATACAGGAACTGGATCACTTTTTCTTCTGTAATTTTGGCCAACGGTTCAGCTTCCACCCATTTCGTGAAGTAGTCGACTGCCACGATCAAAAATTTTCGTTGCCCTGTTGCTTGCGGCATTGGTCCCACTAGGTCGATGCCCCACTGTGCAAACGGAATAGGTGCGCTCATTGTAGTCATTGTCTCCGCTGGTTGGTGTATGAGCGGGCCGTGCTTCTGGCACTGCATACACTTCCTGGCCATTTCCTTAGCATCCGCTTTCATTGTCGGCCAGAAGTAGCATGCTCTTAAGATCTTTGCAATCATGGCCCCGGCTTTGCTATGATCGCCACAGCATCCCTCGTGCACTTCTCGTAGAACGTACCGACCCTCCTCTTTGGATACACATCTCAAATGCGGACCTGCATATGATCGTTTATAGAGAACCCCACCTTGCTCGAAAAACCTCCTCACTACCTTTGTGGTCCCTTCCCATTACTCCTTCTGGATTGGGGCCCTCCAGTCTTCTACCTCCTCAATCTCCGCCACCTCGACTTCCGTCGCGCTCCTCTCCATGTGAAGTAGGGTCACACTCCTACTCTTACAATCGACCAAGCTTTGTGCGATTTTAGACAGTAAATCAGCCCGACCATTCTCCCCTCGGGGTATTTGTATTAATTCGAATGTCCCAAATTCTTCCTTCAACTTTTTTATGTTGTCCACATGACGTTGCAGCCGATCTTCTTTGATCTCGAAACCTTCTTGGAATTGACCGACCACCAACTGCGAGTCAGAATGGACCTGGATTCTCCGAGCACCTCCGGCCAGAGCCAATTGTAATCCCTTTGTCACCGCTTCATATTCTGCCTCGTTGTTTGATACTCGAAACCCCATCTTGACGGCGAACTCTAAATAATCTCCTTTGGGCGAAATCAAGACTATTCCCAAGCCAGCCCCGCTCCTCGATACCGAACCATCTGCGAACAACTGCCACATTCCTCCGCCATCTTCCTCCTCCTTCGTACCTTCCTGTATGAAATCGGCCAAAACTTGCCCTTTGATCGCCCTTCTTGGTTCATATTTTATAGAGTACTCGCTTAGCTCGACCGCCCACTTTACTAGTCGACCAGACACTGCTGGTCGACCTAAAGTCTGCTCCAACGGCATGTTTGTGCGCACCTTGACTTTGTGGTTCAGGAAGTATGGCCTCAGCTTCCGAACTGTCACGACCACCGCCAGTGCACATTTCTCAATTTCCGAGTACCTCAACTCTGCTCATTGCATTACCCGACTGACATAATATATTGGGAATTGTGCCACTCCTTCTTCTCGTAATAATACTGAGCTTACAGCACTCTCGCCCACCGATATGTAGAGCACGAGCTCCTCTCCGTGAATTGGCTTGGCCAATAAGGGCAAGTTAGCCAGCGTCCTCTGCAACTCCTCGAAGGCCTTTTGGGCTTCCTCTGTCCACTGAAATTTCGAGCTCTTCTTCAGGGTTTTGAACAAAGAGCCAATAAGGGCCTCCTCTTATGTCTTTTTTTGACAAATCTATAGTTAAGAACATGTGAAAAAAAAAGATAAAGTTTTAAAAAAATATTAAATATAAGAAATATTATGAATATAACTAAGTTGTGACACGTAATAATAAATATAAAACAAACTAATAAACAAAAATAATATAATTAATATAACTAAATATAAACCTTCTAAAAATATACTTATCGATCTAATCGAAGTGAGTTGTTAAACACTTGTTAGTTTTTTTGTTCTTATTAATTTTATGTGTAAATTTGAGGTGATAGACAATAGTTATTTGGACATTTATACATGTAGATTAGAAAAAAATATTGTAACAGCCCAGTTAACCAGCTACAGAATATTGTCTGCTTTGGGTATACACCAGATCATGCCCTCACGGTTTTATCATATTTCAATCGTTGAAAAAATTGTTATTGGTATTGTGCAAAAATTCAATAGAAGTTCCATTGGAAAGATAATTGCAGTGATAGATATTAAAATAATTTCATATTGGGAGCATTATTTAGTTAATAGAAAAAAATATACCATCAAAATAACATGTCATTGCAATTTATAAATTATATTTTACATAATCTATCACCTTTCTCATTTGTAATGCATTTTAATAAATCTATGCAATCACAATAAGGTAAAATATATTTTAGAAACCAAAAGTCAAGATTTTTCTAAAATTAACATAAGAAAATCGTTATATTTGTTGTAATTTTTGTTGAAATTTTCTCATTTTCTTGTAGTAAAACTAAGACTCCAAATCTATAAAAAAATGCATTATATATATAATATTGTGTGCAACTATTATTATGAACATTTTTGATACGATAGAAAATATAACACATTCAATGTAATTGGCGTTCAATTTGTGATAAGAATTAATATTTTTCAAAGCAAACAAGATACTTTAAAAGGTCCTTAATTATTTTATTAGTATTGTAATAACTAAATAAAGGGTAAAAAAGATGATATATCACATCATTTATTTTTAATGATGTTTGAGTTGACCCATATATTGCAATAAAATAAAAATAATATAATTATTTATATTGATATAAAATAATATATATATATATATATATATATATATATCAATACTAATTTAAAATAATAAATTAGACTTAAAGTATATAATATAATAAATTTTATATTCAAGTTAAATCAATTTTATTAAGTATAAAATAACATAAGATAAACTTGTGGTATGTTTTCCATACATAAATTTGAAACAATTCATATTATAAAAAAAGTAAACAAATAGGTGTAAACTTCTAACTGTTCCCACGTTTTGGCTAGAGGCCCCAAATCCGATATATGTTTGACACGAGTTTGTCGTAATGCTGAAACTATGGCAATGCACCTTAGGGTACAAACAAAGCGAAGCAATGTGAAGTCATAGATAAAAGGAAGGCTAGGCCAGAGAAAGGAAATGAAATAAAATTAGCTATGCGAAGTCAATTACTGATGCAAAATGAACCCTATAATAGTGGTACCATATATGCCTTCAGTGATTATGAAAATGACTTAGTTAATTAATATTTATCAAACATTGAAAAAAATTCTAAAACTTTTTAATCTAATAATTTGTATAAAAAGTATAATTTTATCAAATATATTAAATTACATTTAATCTTATGTGATTATATTAATTGTAGCCTAATAAATAAGATAATTTGATACCATCATTATATAAAACACATACAAAAAATAACATAATACGTATAAATGTGTTTTAGTTACTTAGCAAATAAAATATTATTTGTCTATATAATAAGAAACAAATAATATAATAATAATGCAATGAGAAAAAGAAAACATGCTAATTTTCTTAGAAAAGTATAAATACCAATATCTACAAAATAAAAAGTCTTTTAAAATTACTACTTTTTTGTTGCTAGCGTTTAAATATATGGATTCTGTAAGAAATTGGTTCTCATAAATAATGATCATATGTCATTTATTTTCAATTTTAAATAATTAAAAAATCTAAAAATTTGTATACATGATGTATATTTTAATCATGACTCCATAATAATAAACTTTACAAATGACTAAAAGTATCGTCATATAATAGAATTCTAATTCTTCTGTTGTCAAATATTTTAACAAATGATATGTTTCTCAATATTTTCTCATTGTTTTGTTTTATCATTGCAAAAAATAGATTATATTTGTTCGTCTATATTCTAGATAAATAACACTGAAAATAAAATGTAGGAGTATCAAAACAATTTTGAATGTTAGAATTAAGTTGTCACTTTTTATAGAAATATTTATAATCTCATTGGTGTATTGTGCTTGAACATATGTGCAATTACTTTAAAGGTACTTTCAGGTAATGTATGATGATTTCAAAAAATAATTTAGCACCTCGGGAGAAGTACATGTAACAAAGATTTTGGAAAGTCAACTTTTATTTGGAGATAAAATTCATTCCCACCTCGTGGGGCGAAGTATCAATGGGGTAGACACCAATATATCTAGAGACAGAGGAATGTAGTAGTTTATACAATGATAAAAAATATCAACAATTTTAGTGACACCGTTAGTTATTTCATAGAGATATTTATCCTTTGTTAGTAGAAGTACCTTGTTATAAAGATCATACGATCATGAAGTTTGACTATATGTTGGGTCAGAATGTTTCTTAAGTGTTTGAATAAAATTAGCGTTTTGCCTAATTAATTAAGAGGAATTTTGCAATAGTATTGATGTATTGTACTCCAACGACTATGAATGTTCTTATGAGAACGTTAAAACTAAAATGAAAGAAAATTTTTGTGTTTTTTTTATTAGGAATTTGTTTTTTTATATATATTTTTGGGATTTGTAAAACGTTATTTCACTATTTCTATATGAGAACATCATTACGTTAATTCTAAATAAAAAAAATCACATATGAGTTCATTTTTTTTCTATATTTTACTTCATTTATGCAATGATATGTTTAATAAATAAATTAATTTATTTTACAAACTTACTCCACGAAAATCATTCGACACCACGTGCATCGCACGTGCACTTTACTAGTAACAAATAAAAGAAGGGAAAGGTTACGGTTCCGTTACGGTACCATCCCGTTGGATGTTTTAACCGTTGAATCATCTATCTTATCTAACTTGGAGTCAACGGTTAAAATACCCAAGGAATGGTACCTACCATTTCCTATTGTTTTTGTTATCTACATTCATTGTCTAACCTCATCTGTGCAGAAATATGGCCATGGAGGCACTGAGCAGCTGCAACCTCAGCCCAACTCCTCACCCCAAATCACTTTCACGTCTGCTAAAAACACCTCTGAATACAACCAAAGTTTCTCTAAGTCTGAAAGGGAACTCCCAACTCTCACACCTCAAAAATGGCAGACCCAAAAAGTTTCGCGACAAGGACGCCTTCCCCAATTCCATTCCCATCCACAACAGAAACCCGTATGCCATCTACAGAGACATACGGAACTTGGCAAGCCAAAACAAGCTCAAGGAGGCTCTCGCCATATTGGACTACCTCGACCAGCGTGGCATCCCCACCAACCCCTCCACTTTCTCCCGTCTCATCTCCGCCTGCATGGAAACCAAATCCATTGATGCGGCAAGAGAAGTCCACGCGCACATCAGGATAAACGGGCTGGCCGAGAACGAGTTCTTGCAAACGAAGCTCGTGCAGATGTACGCTGCCTGTGGCTCAATCGAGGACGCAAGAAAGGTGTTTGAGACTATGCGTGTTACGAGTGTGTACCCGTGGAATGCGCTTCTTAGGGGCAGTGTGGTATTGGGTGGGCGTAACTACCGTGAAGTGATGGGGTCATTCTCGGAAATGCGGGCTTCGGGCGTCGAGCCGAACACTTACAGCTTCTCTTGCCTGATCAAAAGCTTGGCAGGTAATAGGGCTCTGTACCAGGGCTTGAAAACTCATGGAATGTTGATAAAGAACGGGTTTCTGGGTAGCTGTATGGTCAGGACGAGTTTGATTGACTTGTATTTCAAGTGCGGCAAGGTTAAGTTGGCTTGTGCTGTTTTTGAGGAAGTTGGGGACAGAGATGTGGTGATATGGGGGGCAATGATAGCCGGGTTTGCTCACAATCGGCTGCAAAGGGAGGCATTGGAGTACACGAGATGGATGGTGAGCGAAGGCGTATCAGTCAATTCCGTTATATTGAGTACCATTCTTCCAGTTATTGGAGAAGTTTCTGCAAGGAAAATAGGACAGGAGGTTCACGCTTACGTGATCAAGACCAAAGGGTACTCAGAGCAGCCGTTTATTCAATCTGCATTGCTCGATATGTACTGCAAGTGTAAGGACATGGTTTCGGGAAGAAAGGTGTTTTATGGGTCTACAAAGAGGAATGAAGTTTTGTGGACCGCTCTTTTGTCTGGTTATGTGTTAAATGGGAGGCTCACACAGGCTCTGAGGTCGATTGTATGGATGCAACAAGAAGGGTTCAAACCTGATTTTGTGACAGTTGCCACTGTCCTTCCAGTTTGTGGGAAGCTCAAGGCATTTAAGCAAGGGAAAGAGATTCACACTTATGCACTGAAAAATGGGTTTTTACCGGACATATCTGTAGCTACTTCGCTTATTATGATGTACTCAAAATGTGGTGCCTTGAACTATAGCGTGAGAGTATTTGATTGCATGGAGCAGAAGAATGTGATATCATGGACGGCCATGATTGAGTGTTACATGGAGTTCCAATGCTTGGACAAAGCTGTTTGTGTTTTTCGAGAAATGCAGTTCTCCAAGTACAGGCCAGATTCTGTTACAATTTCTAGGATGCTGAACGTTTGTGGCAAACTTAAATTGCAGAGACTGGGGAAGGAACTACATGGACAGGCTCTGAAACGAGATTTGTATTCTGTTCCTTTTGTTTCAGCAGAAATAATGAAAATGTATGGGAAGTGTGGGGCATTTGATAAGGCGATGTTAGCTTTTGATGCTGTTCCTGCTAAAGGGTCAATGACATGGACTGCCATTGTCGAGGCTTACGGATGCAGTGGTAGATATGAAGAAGCTATCCATCTTTTCAAGAAGATGGTGTCAGCTGATTTTACTCCTAATCAGTACACGCTTGAAGTGATTCTGAATATTTGTGGGGAAGCTGGATTTGCTGATGACGCTCTGAGTTTCTTTACTTTAATGATTCGGGAATATAAAATTCAAGCATCTGAAAAACATTACTCAAGCATCATTGATATTCTCTCTCGTTCGGGTCGAATGGAGGAGGCTCAGAGATTTATACGATTGAGATCATCCTTGGCTCACTGATCATAAGGTTAACTCTAATCATGTTTGTCAATGGCCTGAAAGAACGAGTTGAGATTAAAATATGATTGTTTGTTGTTGCTTTTTTATGTGTATTATGATCCGATAGAGGCCCGGCCCCCTACCTTCAGCATTCTTGAGGGTTTGGAGACATTGAGACCTCTATTGAAACTCTTATCCTTATATATATTGGCAACAAACCATTCTTACTTTAAAGATACTGTCTTTTTTTTTTTTTTTTTTTTTTTTTTTCTTTTTCTTTTCATTCAACACTTTCTAGATTACATGATCTGTTTTGAGATCTTCTGCTTATTGCTTTCTCTTTAAATACGACGTTAAACTACCAGTTATTGTGCATCTATTAGCGTTCAAGCATCGATCGTTCTCCATTCACCAAGAGAACATACAATTGTCTTCCTGATGCATTTCTCTCCACGTGACACATTTTGCAATACAGCATATCAAACCCCTACTTAGTGAAACAACCCAATCACTGAACAAAAACATTCCATAGTTTCACATTTGTTGTTTATGAATTGTTGCTTGGTTTCTTTAACCCTCTTAGATGTTGGAGTACTCTTATTCCCTGGATGAAGAAGGCATTGGCTAGACAGCTTTCTAAGTTCTTTTTTCATTTGATGATGTTATCTCACTTGGATTCAAGAAAGTGATATGGTTGCACAAGTCAAACAGTACTGTGAAATGGAAAGTCATGAAAAAAAACTGCACAAGTTGGTCTCACAAAGCAAGATCAACGAAACCAAGGACGTCATGACTCATGAAGCGCAATGCCAGTGAGATTGGTGAAAGCAAGGTAATTACTTTGGATCTCAAGTGTGATAATTAAATTTTTGCACCAATTTCCTGGTCATGGTGCGACTCATTTATTTTGGTAGTGACGGTGGCATTTCATATAGTAGTGGTTTTGGAAGTGGTTCCGGATTCGTTTTCAGCACTGAAGTGGATTTGTTCTCTAAACCTAGCGATTTGTTATCAAAATTTGAAGCTATTTATTAATCTGTATTAAGTCCTCAAATGTTTTTGTAATGAACTAACGCTGGGAAAATATTAAAACTGCAATGTGCTCTTTTTTTCTTAGTTCTCTTGCATAATTACTCTGTGGCATTGCTTGATCTTTTCTAGAAGCTGTTATTGCCCAGTGTGAAGTTTTATCATAAAATCAAATTTGAACTGTAGATGAGAGTTTGTCGTGAGATGAACCGTGGATCGTATTGCTTAATGCTTCTTGTCTCTTTAGCAAATGATTATTTGATAATCATTGTCGGATATTTTCCCTATTTGATTTATTTAGAATCTTGTCTGTAACTTTTGAGCTACACTGGTATTTTCCCTGTTCAGTCTGTTATATACGATGTACAATATAATGCTTTTGGCAATTATAACCTGATTAGGATACAAAATCCCTCCCAGACAGGTTGCTATTACTGAAACTAGTTTAACTGATTATTATCCCTCAGCCTTGGCTTTCAACTTTCTAACTATCTTTATTTTTCTTTGCAGTTTCTGAGCGTCTATATATTTGGAGAAACTGTAAACACTCACTCACATCTTATGTCATTCTCTGTAAGTAATTGCTTGCTAAAACTCAGTTTAGCTTTGATTCCAATTACAAATTAAACCAACTTCAAAATTTACATGTTTGTCTTTTGTTCAAATTATTTGTAGCTCTATCTATCCATCGAAGCATGCGAAAATTGTACTCTAAACATAACTACAGCCTGTCCACCTCAAAATCTGAAGAACCAATGTTGTCACCTTTTATGTTTACATGTCCACCACTGTCATTTTACCATTTTCACTAATTATAAGAGATCCAATTTCGTTAAGGGAATTTTTCTATAACCAGCGTTCCGCTGTAGCAATTACTCGACTCGAGCAATTTAAAGCTCATACGAAAAATGGTGAAAAAACGATCACGTTCTGATAAGTCACTTTCTTGAAGATCAAACAATGGCCAAAATTTTTAAAATTTTGTTAAATGGATTTTTAAATAAATCAAAACCGGCATTGGCTGACCTAATAAATAGTGAAAATTCATCATTCACTATAATGTTTCATCTTGTGGTTCATGTCTGATCGAGGTAAGACTTCGTAGATTTTACAATACAATAAAAGGAAAACAAAGGCGAAAAGGAAGAGAGAAAGAAACAAACGAAAAGCTTTCTCTACATTTATAGCCTGAAAATGCGCTTACACGATCTCAAGATCCCTTTACGACTACCCTTTTTATCCTTGAAGGATTGATCAGTTTCATCATCATCTTCAGGATTTGATGATAACACGACATCTTGGTCATTGATCCTGCAATACCTCTCTGAAACAGACATAGATCTTCTGATCGAGAAGGCCCTTTTAACAACAGATGATGATGATGATGATGTAATAGAGGCATTTCTTCTAAACTTGGGTGAACCACAATTTGGTCCCATTTCAATGTATGTATCTGCATTGTCCATTTTCGTACGTGTTTCAAGAGTTTTGGATTCTTGTGGTTGCTGATTGCATTTTTCTTTAATCTGAGAGGAAGAAATCAAGCAATATGATGATGATTCACTACTCAGGTGCAAGTTTTTCATCTTGTTGTAACCATTCATCTTTCAGGTTTCTTCTCTTTGATTTGATGTTTTTGTTGTTGTCTTATTAAATGCAAACCAGGAATAATATAGGAAGGAATTTAGGTGAGTGTGTGTGTGTGGCACACATTTGGACAAGGAAGAAAGTGGAGTTTGTTTGATTGGTAAAACTAGCTGATAGCTTATCAATAATTTTCGAGTTTATAGCTTATGATTTATAGTAGAAAAATTAGCTTATTTAATAAAAGTGTTTGGTAAAATTAGCTGATAAACTAGCTGAAATAAAAATTTCAACGAGTTTATTTGAAAAACAAACCAAAGAAGCTGATCAAATAAGCTCGAGTTTTTTTTTTTTAAAAGCCAGTTTTACCAAACAGAGCTTATTTGAATACAGTGAGCTTGTAAGTTAACCAAATAATTATCTTATTCGTCTACCAAATATAACACTTTTTGTGAGGTTGAACTTTGAAATATAATTCAACATCCTTTATAATTTATTTTTTTTTTTTTTTTTTTTTTTTTTTTTTTTTTTTTTTAAATATGGGTAAGATCCCACCAGAAACTTACGGACTTCATAGGAAATTTCACAGAAAAATAATAAGGTCAATGATCCGGCAGTTGGCCACGACAGCATAACAATTCTTTTTGACTATAGTAAAATGGAACAATTAATTACATGGCATTATGGTTCTATCAAACTTTCAAGAACCCCTATAGTTGTAGTTGTTGTAACAACAACAACACTAATAATAATTGAGATTTCGAGGGAGTAAATAAATTCGCGTTTATACTGAAAATAATGAATGTTCATGTAAAATTGCCAAAGCGAATAAATAAAAACGAACTTTCAAAAGAGCGTTCCACTCTCTTGCAGAACTCTTTCATTAAGCAAGTGTTTGGCCAACAAGTATAAATAAGATTTGCACGCATAGACCCTCTAAGCTAACCTACTTCGTACTCCACCTACCTAACTATTTTTCTGGCCATGACGTGGACTTACTCTGCAGGTGTGGATCACTCCAAGCAATATGAAGACGCTCGTCCCAAGCACCAAGTAGAACGAAAACAAAAGATGACACCTCCAATTACCAGCGATAAACCTTTATGCTGGAATCTGATCACTCTATAAAATATAATCAACACTCACGAGCTCTCAATGAATAAAACTTTAAACTCTCTGAAAGAAATAATGGAATGGCTCATTAACAATAAGAACTCGTGGAACTAATATATATATATATATAGGGTTGGGTTCCAGTGAGAATGTATCTCAATGAAAGAAATAAGAATACATTGTAGCCATTAGATAAAATGATCTAGCGGCTACAATAATTCAGCATTTATTTATTCATTAAGGGTATTTTAGACATTTTAAGATTTTAACATCAACTAACAATAAATTCATACCCAATAACTAAATGACACGTGGACATAATTACATCAAACTCTCAACCCATTCTCTCTCTTGGTCAAACACACACTGACACCCATCTATTACACACACATACACCGACACACATATATACACAACAGATATATATACACACATATATACACACAGCAGACACACAAATATACACATATAATTGTCGTCCGTCGCCGCCATCATTGTAGTCCAATCGTTGCCATCCTCGCCGGCCGGTCATCGCCATCAGTGCAGTCCGATCGCCGCCATCCTTGCCGACCAGTCGTCGCAATCACGCCTCTGTCGTCCCCACCATAACGCCTCCACCGTCGCTGCCATCACGCCTCCGACGCCGCCTCACCCCATCGTCATCCACCAGACCGTTGCAATGTAGAATAACTGCCTTCCATTCGTATGCAGCCAGAGCTCCGGCGTGTTCCACGTCATCGAAAATGTCCTCCGGCGCGGCCGAACGGAGGAGAGTTAACGTCGGGAAAGATGGAGGAAGGCCGACGAGGGCGGCGGGAGCTCGCAGCGACCGGAAACACCAACACAGAGGACGGCGAACGGACGGGCGACATGATGGTGGAAGGCCGAGGCCGACGGCGACGGTCGCCGGAATCTGACATTATGGGCTATGATGTTTTGGGGTGTTCATTTGAGAATTAGAATAAGTTTAGGACCTATTTGTAATTTTATGATTTTTAACTATATTTCAATTAAGCCCACATGCCAAATTTATAATTATTGAAAGTTAATAAAAAAATTACTTTTTATATTTTTTGTTATACACATGTATTAAATAATAAACAAATTATTAAATAAAAATAGTATAAAATATAAAAAGAATATAAAATAGTTTATAATAATAAACAAATTTTATAAATAATATTAATAATAACTAATAAAATATTTAAATTATCTAAATTAATTATTTGCGCAATTATATCTATTAAAAAATAGTTTTCGATTACACATAATTTATATATGAACTTACAAATTAT